ACTTTGCCAAAGCTTTCGATAGAGTTTCGCACAAGAAACTGATCATAAAGCTGAAGGCTTTGAAACTCCACCCGATCATTACGAATTGGATCTCCGAGAATCTGAGTAATAGAACGTTTCAAGTTAAGATCGGTCAGTCCTTTCGGAAGTCCGGCGGGTCATAAGTGGTGTACCCCAGGGAGGTGTACTGGCACCGGTGCTTTTCAATGTGTTCACGGCTGAGCTTCCCGATATGCTTCGTGAAGCAGGCGTCACTCCGAAGGTGCATACCGACGACATAAAAATCTATAAGGCAATCCAGTAGAAGCAGACTCTCTGGCAACTGCCTATAGCGCCACAAAAGATAGTGTACATGCAACTACGTTCTTGTACCTCAACAACGCGAACGTACACTGTTGATGGTGTCCTTCTCTCTGCTGCGCAATCCGTCAGAGACCTCGGCTTTTACTACAACGACAAACTGGACTTCACGGAGCACATGAAAACGAGGATCAGAGTAGCCAATCTTCGGACATTCCAAATTCTCAAAAGGCTGTCTTTAGCTAATAAAGGAGCCTTGTTGTGTGTACAAGTCGTGTGCGACCTCGGGTCGAATTCAGGAATCAGTATCTTGGACTGACATCATTAGAAACGCTACGCGCTACGCAGGGTTTTCGATCTTTTTATGGTTCACAAATTTGTACACGGCACGTGTGGTCATGGTTCCGATGTCTTCAAGCTGACACATTCTAGGACTAGGGGTGGCGCCATGAAGATTTCTTTGGCACGTCCTAAAACTAATTTGCGAGCGAGTAGCTTTACCTTCAAGGCTAGCAGTGATTAGAGAGTGGTGAAAAATATATCTGTCTCTTCATCGCTAGCACAGCTCAAACGCCAATTAGTTAAGTTGCTGATGGAGGGAACTGGTCCTAACGTTTCCTGAAACTGCTTATTTAACTAATTTATCTTTGTATTGGTTGTTGATATTGGTTGTTTGCACAAATGTTCGATATTTACATTGCGTTTTGTTTTCTTTCTCACGTTTGCCTTCTGCGGGCGTAATAAACTCATAACTTATAACTTATAATTACTTGGAACGCTTGTAACATCGCTTTTGCTTGTTCAAAACCGCCAACTTCATTTGCCCCCAGCTCCCGATGTTTTGGGAACCGGAAAATTAACTTTAAGAACCGGCCCANTTAGCACAGAGGAAGGCACATTTCTCACCAACGATGTATTTCATCGTTTGCAAGCGCCGTGCACGACAGCGGATCCAAGCCCTCTCAGGTATTGTGCAACATGAGACGCAAGCATTCCCTCTGCGCCATTGGGCTGGTTGACGTCACGAGCACTTCTGCGAACCATTTGATAGCGGATCAGGTTGATCACTGCAACAGCAAGGTATAGCTGATTTCGGACGTGTTCATTCATGTTATGTCTCAATTTGCTGCCCTTATGCTATTCTTTCTTGACAGTTCACGTAACCATGACCGGAAAAATCAATACGACATTGAAAATTGGACTCATCTGCCAGAGATATCTGGACATTCGGACCCACCGAACCCAAAGGAGATCAATAGCGAGAGATCATGTAACTGGCTCTACCATTAACTAACAGTTAGAATTTTTCGGAAAAACGGATAGACTACTAGATTGGATGCTTAAGCAACCGATTGAATTTAGTTTAACGGTAGTCATTGTAATGACCCTATTACAAAATTCTCGAAGCATCTTATTTTGATCGAGCGAATTTCAAGAAAACGACCGTATGCACCGTCCACTCCACGCAAGTAGCTTTATTTTGCTAGGCAATATGTTAGGGCCTTAGGCTATCCAATCGTGACCCGCCTGGACTCTTTAAAACCACAGCAAAACTGATTCACACAAAGATAGGAAGCTTTGGAAAATTAGAAGACTAGAACAAGGTAGTCATCAGCAGTAGGTCAACGGCAACCCAGCCAGCCATTAGTGACGAGTTTTTTCAAGATAATCGAAGCATCAGAGAAGTATGAAACTTTCCATGCCAAAAGAATCCGAAAGCCAAAAAANAAAAAAGTTAAATTGGCATTAATTGTAAATTATGGAATAAATTAGAGAACTCCTCTGAATTTCTCTCAATGCTATCATATTAATGGCTTCTACACGCTAGACTGAAATTTCTAGTTGAAGTAAAGAAAATGATTCATGAGAAGGTTTTAGATCAGAGTATTTAAGACATGGTAGCCTGTCCATTTTGGTGTTTGGAAAGGGATATCTGCGTATCATTCTTGTGTTACACAGAGCCATAGCAGATAGAGGTCGATATCGAGGGGCAATTGGCTCAGGGGCCAGTTATAAGGCGATTCAGCCACCCAACATAAAAGTTAATGATAATAATAGCACAAAAACACGACAGCAAGACTTTTCAGCCCATATCATAGCCGGAGAGCATCAAATGCAATCATAAAATGTGCACCAGTTGAAACTTACTGAGAAATATGCAATAAAAACTTTTTTGTTTACATTACTAAGGCATAGTTTTGTACGCATGGGTAGCGGTCATAATAAAATAGCAATAAACGAACTGAACTTTCATCTCTCAACAACAAAGAAGCTTTAATCGGCCCCTACCACTACCCTTACCACTAGCTTTTTGTCACCCTGTTTTACCATCCCGTCTTATCGAATGAAACATACTGATGAATGTAAACTACATATCCTTAACAATGAACTGATTTCTCCGTTGGAGTTCTATTTCGTAGATAGGTCTTGCTTTCTGAGGCCACTTAACATAGGTGTTCCGTCTTGCTCTGTGCTCCAACAAAATTTGTACGTTCTGGGCCCACGGGGACAGGAGTTACGATTTTCCCGTTTCAACACTCAATTCGCGCAAACCCCGCATCCTGTGGGCGGAGTCCGTCCCTGTCATCCACCATAAGTTTTCCCATCCTGCCGCCAGTGTTCCTGTCAAATTTGAACGTTCTAAATCAACGGGGACAGGAGTCATGAAATTCCGTGCATACAGACAGACGCGACCGCTCCATATATAGCAAAGATCACTCGAGCCTCTGAATGAGTACAAAATTATGCGCTTTCTGTGGAATGGACGTCTGAAAAATTTAGCAATTCGCTTTTGGAGAATTGGTAAATTGAAGTAGCTAAAAATTTAGAAAGCCCATGAAAATTCATTATATATACGAAACCCCCATGACTAGAGTTCATCATTGGTCTAACCACAGAATAGTATATGGCTGAAAAAAGTCGGGAACTTTTGAAGGTTTGGTAATTTGATGCACTATTATCAGCTGAATTTGTTTCAATTTTGTCATTAGATATATCAAAATTTGCCACCACCTTTCCATGCTTTCGTCGAATGTCCTGTTGTTCATATCTTTTAAACATTGAAAACGAAGTTTCCGACGGAAGTGAAGGGTTTACGATGGTGTCAAATACGCAAGTGACAACCCAGGTACTGTGAGCCTCCATTTCCGTCTTTTTCTGAAATGGAAGCAAAAAATTCAAGAAAATCGATTCAATATAGGCCTGAATTCTTCACGAGCAGAGCTTTTAGCTGATCTCACTTTCAAGTTGATCGGAGTACTTGAACAAAAGTTATGCCGATGCAACGGTTTGCGACGGGTCAATTCTTCGCGAACCGTCGATTGTCTAAGAATTAGTGGCAGTATTGTATGTTTGGAAAGAATGCCTTGCGATTGAAATCAACGAAAACGGAAAAGAACGGAACGAGAACGGAAATAACGAAACGGCGTAGTTATTGACGCCCATTTTACGCTGAATGGAGAGAATATTTTTGAATGCTTCACGTGTAGCTAGGTCGAGAAGATAATGAACGACCTAGCTATGGAGCGCGGTGAGCGAAGCATTTAGGAACATCGAGGGAAGACGAAGAAGAGAGAAAGACCAGACGCCACGCTCACCTTCCTCTTCTTGCTTTGACATACGCTTCGAAGACTTGGACTCTACGACAGCAAGGTGAACATGCAGTCAGCTTCATTCAACGCGCTTTGGGAAGAATGAGTCTTGGAACTTACCTATATTCGCAATGCAGGAAGGAATAGAGAGTTCCGAATCTGCCAGCTAGTAATTGGGGATGGCGTCGCTTACGCGAAAAAATCGGAGATCATTCGAGCCGGACGAGACAAAAAAGTTTGATTGTGATGACCGTTGGACTAGCGCGGTCGTCTACTGAGTCCTTCGGGGGGTACGAACACCAGGATGACTATCAGCGTGATGGCAACTTCTTCGCAAGAGCTTTATTAGAAAGGAATGCCATGCATCGTGTCCCTCGAGCGAAAGTCATCCACTGAACAATTCTGGCTCGCGACAGAGACGAATAAAGACGTTATTGGCGCCCATTCGAAAAATTGATGATCAAAAAGGAAGGTGATACATGTAATATAAATTATCCATGTAAAAGGGGTAAAATCCGCCGTCAAACACAGAGTGAGCTCATAGCAATGCTACTGATTACTACATGCGATGCCGTTTTGACCTCGGCAGTTTGTTCGTAATAAGCCTTCAGCACTGCCAATCTTGGAGCCTTCATTGCGCCTTATATAGGCCGTGTGGTGTGGCATCCTTAACAACGGCAACAGATTCGTCTTATTACGAAATCCAAAACCATTACTATCGTGGACTATTCTGTCAAGGGACGCCTGCTGCCTTGCAAAATGGTCATATAAATTATTCGTTCATTACATTCGAATTTATTTCATTCGAAAACAGTAATGGAATGAGCCATGGAATATTATCAATGATGGGAACTAAAGAAAACGCCTACAGCTCATCCTTCACTTTTTGAAAGTATTCGCTCAACAATCGTACAGCTAATCGGTGAACATTATTAAGCTAAGGGAGTTTCTCACAAACTCACTCGCCTTTTTTTTGCAGCAAAAATGAACATAAGCTGAATACTCAGGATACCGACCAAATCATACCAATTGCTATAACTGTAGTTGTGGTAATATCTATGCTTATTTGCATATGTTTTTGTTTTTGCGGTAGAAGCGCGGTGCCGCCTGATGGCATCGGTAACGACGAAAGGGAACGAAAAAGAAAACTAAGCGAAATAGATGAGTTTCTGATTACTAGAAATACACTGACCAGTTTCTTTTTTAGTACTACATCGTAAGCTCAACCGCAAAGCAGGTAATCTCACAAAAATGTCACAAAAAAAGTGCTTTGCTTTTTTTCTCAGGCCTTCTATTGTACCTTTAGGGTGAAGGTAGTTCTGCAGTGTCTTCATCTTTTCACACGAGAGAATCAAAGCAGGTGAAGTCTACACCACATGATCGGTCACCTGAGGCCGTTGGCGCACATGCCCTTCCTCAAATCAAAATTGGAGATTTCAAAGAAGAGCGTCCGACAGAGGGAGAAATTGTTGAAGAGAAACCTCGTCGTCCTGCCAGTCGTCGAGTTGAACGAGCTACGCATCAGCTGAAAAGACTTCTACGATGGTCACGAGAAGAAGGCAAGAAAACGGCTCCGACAGTGGATGACATTCCTAATATACTTGATACCATGGGATCGGTTGATGGACCTGGTGGAGTTGGAGCATTAGGCTTAGGCGCTCAAACGGGACCGAGCGTTCCTGCTCCACCGGGTAGGCAAAGCATACCGTTTGCTCGAATGCAGCGAACGAATGTTGCCCCAGGTTACGAGGGACTTGCGCCTTTCATGAACGATACACAAGGGACCGAAGAAGCGCCCAAGTGGTAGAAGCGTTGGTGGTGGCATAGCCCATTGCATTGTATTACATTCGATTTTCTTGTAATTTTCATACACAAATCCTAATGACAAAAATCTTTTATGATTTATGATTATTCGTCACTGAGATCATAAAGGAAACGGTAGCACACACACATCGACGCTTGACACTGACAAGCTCTCATCAGCGATGAGGAACGAATCCTGTGACAAACAAGTGGGGTGCCCAAGCCGACTCAATTTCGAAAGTTAGATTCAAAGAACACTGCTTGAATTCGATTCGTCTGAGCTGGTTTGTTGAGTTTATTGTTTTCTTGAACTCTTCACGGACGAGGTTTGTAAATAAGCCTTATTAGGCTGAAGTTTCGGCGATATCGCCTTCATCATATTCCGTGCCTCGGGGGTCTCGAACCTCGGTGAGTTGGTGGAGACGATTGGTCGGATAGTCACAGATTGTTATGATCCTTTCTGGCTCTGAAGAAGGCGATATCGCCGTAACGTCAGCCTAATAAAGCTTATTTACAAACCTCGTGAAGAGTTCAAGGAAACAATAAACTCAACAACATAGTATGCCGAGGTTCATAGAAAGCCGTACTTCGGAGTTAATTCGTCTGAGCTGAGTTGTGGTAGCATGAATGGAGAAAATTGAGCAGGGTACCCAGATGTGCTAGAGGGACCTCATTCATAACGTCTGAGGGGTTCTGATCGGTGAAAGCGATCTCGATGTCATTGAAACTAGCTGTTAGCCCTTGTCAATCCGAATTATTTATTCTCTTACAGTCTTAGATTAAAAATTGTAAGTTGGGATTGATGCTGATGATTGATTCCGCTGTTCGCGAGGCATGTCTTCCTAGACTTTTTGACATGCAGTCCTGATATGAAAAAAAAAAGAAATATGAAACTAACTGTAACGCTCTTCGGCAGTTGCTGTGATTTAATCTAACAAGTGACGTGAAATGATTTCAAAATGCAGGGAGATATGTTCAAAATGGCCCCACCTATATTTGTCAATACTTCTGTGCCAAACAAGTTTTTTAGCGCTGGGACGTTTATTCGCCAACTCGTCGTTACCAAAGACCTGAAAGCGTTTCGGAACTTCAGAGTGTTACCTATCACGCTTCACGAAGACCACCTCTTAACTGAATGCAACCCGTACCGGTGAACTTCCGACTAAGTAGGAATTCCAGCAAGTCCAAGTCACTCACGTCACGTTAGTTGAGACTTTTGCTCATTTCTTGCTGTTAGATTACGAGGTTCGGTACCAACCAGGAAGGTTCGTATCTCAATGAGGGATCCTCTTTGGTCGATGTCATTTGTGAAAGAGAAGGGTTCATGGATAGCGATAACTGATAATGGTACTATCATCCCTCGGACATTTGTGAGTACCGCCCAAGGCTTTGGTTGCCTAATAGTTGAACCTTTGTTGAGTATTTATTTTTAAGGACGAGAGCGAAAGATAAAAAATTCCAATCAAAGGCGTAAGCGATCTAGGAATAGAATTCTCACCAGGGTAAGCAAAATGTTAAGCATCATAATCACAAGCGAATAGGAGCAAAAAATAAATAGAGGTAAACTGAACCCAGGACTATACTACACTCTGATTTTGAAGGAAAACTCGTTTATTACTTTCACAATAACAATCATATTAAGCAACAACATGCTTTGTCTACGTGCTTAGTATCAATGGCGGATTTCACACACAAGCCTCAACCACGAAGATGATGTGCTTTCTTTTGGCAATGCATCACATATCAACACATAATGTCACACATTAAAAATGTTAAACTTAAAATTCGGTGAGATCACGTTTAGGTTTGCATGATCAATCAATAAATCAATTGAAACGAAATGTCTGGCGAACATATAGACAACAACAGTATGATCGATTCAGTGATGTGGGAGCAGTGGTGCACATTCCATTGACAGACAAATAAATTTTGTTGTTATTTAATCACTACAGATCGAGAAGTGATAGTGGTTGAGGCACCGGAGTGGTTATGGTACCGTTTAGATTTGTCGATGTAGTAACGTTGGTGGAGATCAGAAAATCGTCGGAAAAGTCGATGAGATTGGTTTCATTTGGATCGTCTATTTCAGTGGGTGGGCTTCGGCTTGTGGAATGCTGAATAAAACATCGAGTTAAACACAGTTTCTTTGGAAATTGAACGATTAGCAGAAAAAAAGAGCTGGCAAATAGCCTGTGAACAGCTTGAATGTCAAGAGATTTTTTTGAGTAATCAAACGAAAAAACAGATAGTAAAAGAGAAATTCTCTATAGAGCAATAACAGCAAAGATATATTCTAACGCTAATCACAAAGCGAAATTGCGGAAAATTACCTCAACAACCTAATCAGATAAACATTCAGAAAATTTACATAGCATAATCACAATCAGATTCGGCTCAAAAAAANAAAAAAACTCACTTCACCATAATTTTTTTTTACCTGCTGAGGTCACTCTCACCTACTCAAAGCAACTCCAAAATTGGGATTGTTTACAGCTTGTTTACCTATCCTGGAAATCTCGTCAACTTGTCCGCCATCTCACCTCACTGCCTTTAAGTAAGTTCACAAGGTCCGTGTAATTGATTACGTCTTCTCCAGGCTTGTCATCATCTTCTTCGTCTAGTTCAACTAGAGCGAAGTCAACCAAACGACTGACGACTCGCACACGTGGATGTTTTTTGACAACACGCACTGCCTGAAGCATAGTCTCAGTTGTGTGCTAGAAACGATTCTGACACCTACACATAAAAACACATTGCACAATAAGAGGATAAGGTGATCAGCGGCATTGCTTGACTGTCTGCGTCCCGCTGTTACTTTTTTACCAGTTGGGCTATGTACGCTAATGCGCGCATCATGTTAGTTAATCATTTTATTGAACTGGATACGCAGTGCCGATTATGTAGTCAAAAACAACGCTCGACTTAGAAGTTACTTCAATGATTGGCTCACAGAAATTAATTCGTAGGAAAGTAAAAAGAGCTCATTTTATCGCTACTAACAATTGGATGCTCATGAACATGAACTCGTGAACACCATCTTTATTAACAAAGTCGTCTAAGAAAAAAGGCTTAGTAACTATTTATATCTCAAGCAGAAGCAGACAGCAAGAATAGGGAGATGTTGTCAATAAGACTTTTATCTAAGGATGTATCATTGGTGGAGGCTCCCAGATTATTAGCAGTTGGATAAGTTTTGTGGCGAATAATATCACAGCAAAGAGGAGTCGCCATCCCTCATTGAGTCACATATCTTGCTGGGTACCGAACATAATAACAGCAAGAAATTAACCAAACTTTCAACTTTACATAATAAAAATCTTCAATCGGTTCCTATCACTGCACTTACCCCTAACTTCTTGTCACCCTACTTTACCATCCCGTCTTATCGAGCGAAATTTACTGACGAACCAAATTTACATGTCTGTAACACCGAACTTATTTCTTCGTCAGGGTTCTATTTCGCGGATGTGTCTTACTTTCTGGGGCTATTATCAGCTCCTATCAGTTGTTATCAGTTCGACCCCATTGCATCCCACATGTCACATGTCTTCCTACCACCTACCATAGGTGATCCTATTCTGCTGCCTGTGTTTCTACCAAATTCGAACGCTCTCAGTCTACCGAGACAGGAGTTATGATTTTACCGCTCCAGCATTTAATTCGCACAAACCCCGCCTCTGGGCGGGCTCCGCCCCTGTCACCCACTACAAGTTGTTTCCATCCTGCCGTCTGTACTTCTACCAATTCATATAGAGCATGGTTGTTTGTACAAACTCTATCAGAAATAAAAATTTCTACAGTCGTGACTTCCAAGCACGTAATAAAAGTTGTACAACGATAGCAGAACGGATGGCCCGGCCAACGCCGGCTTCTCTCTTTCTTGAGAACAAATGATACTTTACGGAACACTAAATCCGATAGAGAAGCAAAAGGGCATGCAAACGATATCCGAAATGTGCCGATGCCTATGCCTATGATTAGAAGTCTCGATCTGTCGCTGTTAAGCCTTGAATGCTACTCACAAATGTTGCCGAGTCATAACAATACCATTATCAAATGTCTTTATGAATGTGGCTCCTTTTCTCTACGGATACATCACTAAATGAGAATCCAAGATTGTTAGCGGTCGGATAAGTTCTGCCATGAATGATATCAAACCGGAGAAGAACCGTGATCTTTCATTGAATCGCAAACCTCGCTGGGTAGCGGTCGTAAGCAAAAAGTGAACCAAACTTCATAATCGGTCCTCCCACCTATCATAAGTGTTTCCATCCTGCCGCCTATACTCTTGCCAAGTTTGAACACCCCAGGCTAAATTGTCAATTTTGGCGCAGACCCCTCCCCTTTGGTCCGCTCCTGCCACCCGCCATAAATGTTCTCATCCTGCCTCCAATAATCCTGCTGAGTTCAAACGTCCAGGTACACTGAGACAGGAGTTATCATTTTCCGCTCGCACATTTATCTCGCGCAAACCCATTGTGGGCGGAGTCGGGTCCTGCCACCCACCATTAAAGTTCCCACACCGCCTCGAGTACTCCTCCAAATTTGAACTCTCTAGGTTCACGGAAACGGGAGTTATGATTTTCCGATAAAACATTTATTTCGCACAAACCCTGTGAGCAGAGTCTGGTCCTGCCACCTACCATTAGCGTTCCCACCCTGTCTCGGATACTCCAAGCAAATTCGTACTTTCTATGTTCACGGGTACAGGAGTTATGATTTTCCGCAAAAACGTTTATTTCGCACAAACCCCGCTCCCTGCGGGCGGAGTTCGCAGGGAGCGGGGTTTGTGCGAAATAAACGTTTTTGCGGAAACGCCACCCGCCATATGTATGTGTTCCCATCCTGCTGCCTGTTCTCCTAGCAAATTTGAACGTTTTAGGTCCAGCAGTTATGAATTTCCGTGCAAAAAGACAGACACACAGACACGAGCGCTTTATATATAGTAAGGATTTTTTAGTGGACATCTGTGAATTTTCGGGCGGGATTTCCAAGGCGAATGTGGTTGTTCCACGGATTATTACGACGTTCATAAAGTTATTCGCAGCGACAACGCAATATATAATATAAACTATCGTCTGACTGAGCATCTCCAAAGCAGTTTCTTTACAGACCGGGTCTCAGTCCTTTCAATATAATGTGGGCTGAAATGCTGATGTAGTCAATGTAGGCATAAAAGCATGAGCACCTGTGCACAGGTGTAATACCCTTCAGCACACTCGGAATTGTACATAAACGTTTGAACCCTAATTCTACCGCAAGCGACAATGGCTTTGCGAGAATTATCTAATTCTCCAGAGTTCGAATCTTCTGCTTCACAACGCGCAATCAGCTGAGACGAGCGCGACTTACCGTTTGGATTTAAAACAGAACACTCTCACCAATGTACTATGTGAAGATTGTCATGATCTACAAAACGTAAGAATCACATCGAAAAAAGCCTTGCTAGATGTTTGCGGATATCATTAATCCAACTAATGCCACCCTGCAATGAGATCGTTCGACTTCGAGAAAAATAGCGGCGGCAAATTGGGAACGCTGACGGTAGGTGATAGTAAGTAACAAAAACCTAGGAAATCCTAAAAGTCAACATCATAGGGGTAATAACAACTAAGGAATCTTAAAAGCCGACATCCATAGGATCTGTTAATCCTCCATCTTAACAGTGCAAGCTTAGCACTTTGGTAGGTTTTGCGAATGGAAAGCCCACTAGACTATTCTTTTCTCCGAATTGGTGGTGGATCCTCGCTATTTCAGTAGGGCAATGTAAGGCATGAACAGACGCACACAGATGAAGGGTTACAGAGAATGACACACTGAGTTGATAATGGCTGATAAGGTACCTTGGAATCTAAAAGCTTTTCACTTTCTATAGCTGTTGTTATTTGCTAGACTCCAGTACAAGCGCTCCAATCTTGGCCATAAATGATATAGCCAAAACAGGGCGCCAATCGCTGCTCCATAGCCAGGCCTCTAGTCTGTGCGAAATACCTTCTCGACCACATGAAAATGTTCCAACTGAGGTACTTCTTCACAAGCGTCATCAGCTGGGATATAGGCAGCCGTCGCATACCAATATCGTTTTGGTGCTGACTAAGTAGCATACTTCTTCCATAGCAGACCCATTGGCTGCTTTCATAGTCCGCTGGCCGGCCGGCCGGCCGGCGTGCCGGCGGAGGCAGTGCTAGGGGGGGAGGAGGGAGGCAGACAGTGTAAGGCAAACAGTCCACGCCCCTTCGAAGGTTGTTTGTTTTCAACCCCTCGAAGGGGCGTGGACTGTTCGCCTATCTGTCTGCCTCCCTCCTCCCCGCTAGCACTGCCTCCGCCGGCACGCCGGCCGGCCGGCCGGCCGGCGGACTATGAAAGCAGCCATTGCTGACATTTGTATAGAGAGCTTCTACGTCAAAGGATTCCATAAGCACGAACCACTGGAATGCAGTGCGACAAGGCGATCCAAAAACATTGGGTGTTGTGAGATGAGAAGAAATGAAGTTGAGGAGCTGCACTAGAAAGATATTCAGAAACCATGCGATTCGTTCAGTAGGACTACCCTTGCAGCTTATTATAGGGCGGACTTTCACGGAAGTGGGATTGATTGAAGCCAGGTTGTGTGCATCCAAAAACTTGTGCGTCTTTATGAGCAGATACAGGACTGGACAACGAGACGACTCAAGTTTGCGGCGTGTTGTCAAGGTTATCAAGGTTGAAGTTGAACTCAGTTCTGCAGAGCGTGCGACTGAAACCCATATCCGGTTTAGACTACGCAGCTGCGTTTTGAACTCCTCAAGAAAAGCTGGGCGGTAGAGAGAGGCGTTTCTCAGGTGGTATTCTGTTATTTCACAGTCAAGTTGTTTGGGAATTACTACAAACTCTTCTCCTTTGTCACTGACAGGTAACCTTATAGTTCGAGACTTTATCAGGTCTCGGAGTTCCTTATACCACGTATTTGCTCCCTTGAAATACTATATGTGATGCTTTGCTTTCGGAATCTACTCAGCCCCTTGAAAACGTCGTCGGCAAAAACGTTTGAACGGATAATCACAGATTGTTATGATCCTTTCAGGCTCTAAAGAGGGCGATTCCGCCGAAACGTCAGTCTAATAAAGCATATTTACAAACCTTGTGAAGAGTTCAAGACAACAATAAACTCAGTAGTATAGTTGGTAAGTACCAATTGAAATTCACTGCACTAATGCGGAAGCCCTGCACAATGATCTTGACTGGATTGGAGGTAAGAAGATCAATGGAGAACTGTTCGCTTCGCTTCGCTGACGACTGCGCCATTTTTGCACCCTATGTCCTAGAGCTCCAGGAGGAACTACTACACATGAAACCGAGTGAAATCGGGCTTGAAATGATTCTGTCAAAAACTAACGGATGCACAACCAATTCAGTCCTACAGCGCCCGTCAAAGTAGATGGCGGAAAAATCGGAGAAGAAAAAAGCTTTAAATGCCTCAGACACCAGCTCAGCTGCACAAAAGGCAGCAGCGGACAGCACAACAGGCACAGGAAGGCAGCTTGGTCTAGCTTCAACAAAATCTCAACGTTATACCGAACCTCCCGATAAAACTAAAAGCGTTCCTTTTTCCCTCGACGGTAATACCCGCGCTGTTGTACGGCGCGGAATGTTCGTCGTCCACGAATGCTGACGAAGAGAAATTTGTTGTGATGCAAAGATCAAAAGAACGTGGAAGCAAAGTGTCACTTCGCGAACATATCACAAACGCTTGCGAAGACTAAGTGCCCTCGTTGATGTTGTCCAGGAAATGTATAAGCGTAAGAGGAATGGGCTGGTTATGTATAAGCGTAAAAGGAGTGGGCTGGTTACGTGACACGTTCGAAGGAATACCGATGGACCTTTCGGCTCACGAATTGGATCCTACTGGATAATAAGCGAGCGCCGGGAAAGCCAAAATTGAGGTGGGCCGATCCTGTGGTGAATCTACGTGGCCAACAATGGAGACGACGTGCGCAGGACCGGAACGTATGGCTAAGAGCCGACTTGCGTGGATGGAAAAGCTCGTTGAGACAACAAGTCGGATACAGCTGACACAAGCGACTTGAAATTCGGTCGATTATTTGGGTTTCATCGTTGCCAGGAGCCGCTTTGCCAGCGAGTCCAATAAAGGGAAGAATGCGAGTCCAATAAAGGGAAGTATCAACTGAGTGTGTTCATTTAGATGAGGAGGCATTGATTGTGATTTGATAAACGAAGCGCTGACGAGCAGAATTATTTGAGAATTCTTTTTCAATTACTCCGCAGTTAGTGATGAACCATTTGTTTCGAAAAAGAGTCAACAGGCGACCGACTTCGTATCAAGAACTTTCGATTTTGTGACAGGAAAAACTGGAGCCTGGCCTAAGCCGAGTAATACGAGTGGATGCAGATTATAATTGCTTCCTTATTTGCATGGTTTCAAGCAAGTTTAATAGGAACCAGGGAGGGTAGTGCATATGAAGATGTTGAGGAAGACCGATTAGATTACTGTGAAACCACCATAGATCTATCGAAAAATTCGGTAGTCGGCGAGACTCCACTCCAGAACAGAAGTGTAGGAAACTGTGCACTGCAGGGGAATCATTATTTCGTTCGCCTCGCTTTCGGATGGCGCCAAAACGCCGAAGCACATTTTTACACCATAAGCATTCAAACTAGTTCCAGAACGAAGTGTAACCAAAAACACCGCTGAAAATTTTTCTATTAAAATTTAAGACTTCTCAAAAAACTATGAAGTTCTTATTTTCCAGAGCTTTTGAAACTAATTTCCCACCAGTCAACAAGGGTCGAATCGATAAGAACGATATATGATATACCTTCCTCCAACCAAAAATCTGTGAAAGCTTGATCGCGCATTTTTCCTCATTACTTAGCGAAGCCTCTGGAGGCCACTGAAACTGTGTCACCTTAGTCGAATTTAAAAGATGAAGAGCCACATACAATAGAAAATATGACTTCGTATTTACATCAGAAACTGTAGAATAGCCAACATAATCTTTAGAATAGGTCGGGCTAAGCTCTTCAAGTTGTTGTTCCCTGGCTGTGCCGTTATCCGTGATGCTCTGAATGTACGGAAGTAACTGGCATGTTTCCCAAAATCAAGATAACGTTATATTCTGCATTCACCATTTCCTCAGTAGCCGTCTTTGTTATCTGCTCTGGGTCAAATGGAGGTGATTTAGGTGAGGTAGCCGTTGAGTTCTTGAAATAGCCGTTATAGTGGTGTGATGATGAGCTGGATCCAGTTGTTGACGTCTCCGAGCTACCATACGATCCGCTCTTATGCGGCCGTAGACGATAAATAGAATTAGGGTTGCCCAAGTAGTTGGGCAACGAGGTTGTATCAGTGAAACGAGGTTCGTCCTGTAAAATCTTTCCGCTGGCACGACTGTCACCCAATATTCAGATCACATCGCTCACATCAAATGAATCCTTAGGAGGTCGCAAATATTCTGGGAGAAATTCGTCTTGTTGCTTGTCACTACTATCGCCAGACATAAATCTTGCTTCGTGTGATCGATGCGTACTTGAGTTACTGAAATGACTGAAACGTTCTAGCGCTGCTTACGGGGATCACAGGTAGCGAACAGTCAGTTGTTTTTATCGGCATTCAAAAATCAATAGGTGCCACAGCAGTGACCTGTCCAACTTGTTACGGTAATGGCGCACTCTTTAAAGCCCGACCATGCTGCTAGTCGTCATGGGGTGGATACCCGAGCGAGAAATCTCTATTTCATCTTCTACATATTACGAAAGAATGTTCTACAACAACAGAGCCGTCTGTGTTGTCAGGACGGGANAAAGAGAAGCGCATAGATGGGGCTCGCTGAAAAAGAAATGCCCTCAGAGATCAACGATGAACCGATGAGTCGAGGGTGATCAGATGACTGTAAGTTTGAGCTAGAGATCACGAGGGAGGTGGTCGCAGTAATAAACATGCCTGAGGATAAAAGAGACGCGTAAAGAACTGTAATGAAGGAAATCCTCGAGAGTAAGAGGTCTAGTTTTTCATCACACGCTGCCAAACGCCTACCTCCTGGAGTTTGGAACTCCGTGCCCTGGGACACCCCCGACGATTCTAGCACCTTTAACAGAGTGGGGGTTGGACGAACTTCAGTGGTTCCTGAGATAATTTGGATCAGGATATTGAGGAGGAGCCTAAATGGCCAAGTTTTCCTACAGCTGGACCTCACGTTCCCTTTAAGCTCGACCCAGTGGTGGGTCTCTTTGTTAGATCTTTTTGCTTCCCGACTACTCTTTGTTCTGATTGATCGTGTTTTTTCTTTTACAATAAACTTGTGGATTACTGTGTTTGACAACTTGTGAATTACTGTTTGTGTTTTCGTTTGAGAGTCGTAACTGGAGCCAGCCCTTTTCGATACAGTATCAAGGTCTCCAAGGACAATGTGAGATAAAACAGTATTGTGCGAATGGCAACAGAGACACGTACTTCCCTTCGGAAAAAAGCTGTCTCCCAGATGATCGGCGAATTCTAGAGAAGTCGTCGTGTTCAGACTAGCTCGAATAGACTCGTGGAGTAGTTTCACATCGATTGCGATAAGCTTTCCAACCTACACCTCAGTGCCAGAAGCTTCCGAAAGACCTCTATCCCGCTTAGGGCTTCACTATGAAGAATCTGATGAAAAAATGAACTCTCTCTCGATTGAGCAGATTTTTTCCCTCTTCGAATGCTCCGTGGCGAATAAACAATTCTACCGTATTAGTAGGGCTACCTGAATCACCACTTTCATAACTTTCTGAGAGGTGGCGCAATCTTATTGCATAACCGGACGCGTCAGCAGATACATTGCAAATCAAGCTTTTTGGTAGTTTCTGGACACATAGGTTGCTCGACGTGTCAAGCAGTGAGCAGAAAACAAAAACTGGCACAGTAGAGTACCGACCATGGGTCATGCTACCCTCTAATTCAGAAATGCTTCACAGCCTCTGCACGACCTCGGCAGGCTGCTCACAAAGTTGAAGTGTCCTGAGACGAGATCTGCTTGTGAGTTTGTCTCAGAATTTAATCAACTGCGATACCACTAAAAACACTGTATTTTCTCATACGCCCTCCTTTGGTAACACTACATATTATTGGGCGTGACCAGGGTGACCGGAGTAGATAATGAAAGGTTCATTTAATTCTCAATTGTTTCCATGTCTCTCGAGCATGATCCTCCAGTACTCAGACTGGGAATTGGGATCTACAAAGTATTTTATTAGGCAGCGCTGCTACCTCTCTGAATCTGAAAGGACAAAAGTCATTCGATAATCAATTCGCTCATTAATGTAAAGCAATTAACCAAAGGTGCCGTAAAGTGCGCGGCGACGTTAAGGGCTGTGAAAATGAAGTAACTTGACTACACAATCCACAAACGGTTTTCGATATTTCCCTCCAGGATGAACCTGTGGCGCCAGGCATAGCTTATCGGGTCGAGGAGCGATCTGAAAGTGGCTGCAAGGGCTCTAACGCGGTGTAAGAGCTCTTGGACGAAGTACACACCTAGAAGTGCCTGTTAAGGCCACACCATTTACATTGAGGCGTCGGGAAGCCGAGCAATAGTAAGATTACGTTATAGACACACAAATGGTTACACATACACACATTCTCATGTAACTCCCTTTATTACTACCTTTCAAAGCCTCATATTTCCGAAATCACCGAATTTCGAGCTTTCCTTGCTAATTTAGACTATCCTGCACCCCGACATCCGTTGTTTCACACAAACTAGATATCCTTGGGTTATCGTGAATTCTGATTTGAAAAATTATCCTCTAACACTTCTGTTGATTCCCATATTTGAGCGGCATTCCTTCCCTGGAATGCTAATGAATGAAGGTTGCAGATAAACGACAATACCGTAGCGCTGTTAAACCTTAAATTGCTAGAAGGCTATGTCGTATCATCAGTCGGATCGCCCGGCTGACGCCGCGCCCTCCTTTTTTGTGTTAAGTTTGGCCCTCCGCTTGCACTCTCCCAAGTTTGAAATCTCTGGTCCAAGGGAACAGGAGCTATTGATTTCCAGCGAAATACACACACCGACGCACTTAATGTGTTGGGTTCACTACCTTTTATTCCCACTTGGCTGCGTGTTTTTACTCAAAGGACGGTCATTTCATTACGCCCCATACATCCCCTCCCCGTATGCCTCGGCCGACTGGATCCAGTTCAGTTACCTTTTACTACCTACCATCGGTGTCTTAAATCCGCGGCCTGCACTCGTTCCAAAGTTGAAGGCCCCAAGTTGTAATCAACAATTTTCGCGTACATCCTGTGGGCGGAGACGAATCCCCATACTGTTCCCATGCCGCCGCCTCCACTCCTACAAAATTTGACTGCTCCAGGTGTACAGGAGTCAAAATTTTCGTACCCCGCTCATTGTGGGCGGAGTCTTACTGCCACCCACCATAGGTGTTCTCATCCTGCCGCCTGTACTCCTGGCAAATTTGAACGCTTCGGGTGCACTGGAACAGGAGTTATGTATTTCCGGTCAGACACATCTATGCGCGGCACAGTGAAACTGCTATTGTAAATCTGGGCTGTAAGCTGAATGTGGCCCACCAAAAAAGAGACTCATTGGGGCGAACCTTAAAACGACCACAACGACCACTCGTATTGCTGTCTGCTTTATGAGTAGAATTGAAGAACCGATTTTAGAACGACATCTTTCAATGTAGTGCAGATATAGCGACTGTTCCATTGCAATGTCCATTCAGTTTGAAATTTATGAGTCTTTGAAATGTGAATGAGCATTCACGTCACATAATAGAACTTGGATGAAAAGTACCACATGACGGTTGGTTTCGTCACCTCAACACCTGAACTGTGCGAAAATTGAAAAACTATTTTTATCGGAGCTGAGCACATTTAGAAATTACCTGACATGCTCCATCAACTTACGCAGAATGACGCACTTAGATTTTTGACGACTTACTGTCATAATAGGCAATGGAAAGTTTCTATACAAGCGTAAGGCTTGTTAGTAATTCTTAGATTATATGTTAACCAAGGATCACTTCCCTATTTCCCAAAATGAAAAGCCATGCAAAACCCACTCGATGTCATATCTTCGATGCATATCCCTGACATATCGCCTCCCATTCACCTGGTTCGTTCTCAGTACTCGGCTGTGTTTGCTGAAAAAAGTGCCGCTGTTGCTTGCTGAGTCTACGAGTATCATATTTCAAGTTCCACGAGTTCCTTATCTTTATTTCACACAGTATTTCAACAATGTGTAAGTACTTACCGCTAGTCCAATAAGAAATATATGTGTGTGTATGTGTATGTTTATGTGTATGTGCATGTATATGTATATGTATATGTATATGCATATGTATATGTATATGTAATGTATATGTATATGTAATGTATATGTATATGTATATGTATATGTGTATGTATATGTATATGTGTATGTATATGTATATGTGTATGTA